TGGATGGTTTCTTGTCGTGATCCTCCTTTTTAAACAACCTATATAGACTTTGTCTCAGAGAACAGAATGAGTGACATATGACTAGAATAGATAGTCGCGACTGGATGGATTCTTGATTTTGTCGTGGTGATCTTGTCGTGCGACAAGAAATTGTTGTTTGACGAGAATTTTCCAGGATGACAATTTTTTAATGTATCTTGTCGTGCGTCAATGACAAACGCGACAATTCCCATATCTGCCCTTAACGTTCTCATTTTAGAGTAATTTTTCGGAGTTGACCTAGGGTGATCCTGTAAAAAATAGTTTTTTACCACTTACTTTTTTATTTGAAATTTCTCATGAAAGACATCTTCTAGAGACTTTTAAAACTCTTTAAGACGAATGATTTATAGCGAAATTTGTTGTCTGTATTTCTTCTAATAAATAAGATATACTCGAATATAGTAAAAAATATGAATACATTCAAATTGATTTTATATGAGTTTTAAAAATAAAATACCTCCAATTTTTTCATATTATTGAGAATAACATATGTCCTTTCAAATGCCGTAGAAAAACTTTTTTTTTTGTTTGCCCCAACCAGAGATATTAACATTTGAAAAGTGCATATTTTTAGTATAAAAACGTCAATAACTCTTGATCGGCGAAACATACTGACAAGCTTTTTGGGGCAAAAATTTGCGCCTTCTTAAGATCTAAAAGTTATTTCAAGACACCTTTGCTGAGAAATTCGAAATAAGAAAACTAGAGCAAAATAACTGTTTTTTTTAGCGCCACCCTAACTCATTTCAAGAAAATAGCTCTGAATCGGCCAATTTAAGAGATCAAAAAAAGTTGTTTTCAACAAAGTTGCTTGAAATTAGCTCAGCTATAACTTTGCCGAAAAATGTATACCTTAATTTATTCAAACAAAAAAGTTAGATTTTTGATTTTAATGATAATAGGAACCACCCTAGAATTCATTGTCATAAAAATGAGAACCTAACTATAAGGAACAACTTTGTAGAAGAGACTTTTAATCTAAAGTTTCAATTTCAGGCTCAAAACTTATCATTCCACCTAAATCTGCGTTCTGGACCACTGTGCAGTGTGACAGTTCAGTAGGCAAGAACGAGAAAGAGAAAGTTTGGGGCTCCAGAGACGATTATAAACCTTTTTGACGTTTAATTGTCATTCTCTATCTAGCACACATAGATGACGGTTTGTTTTCCCACTTCCCCATGTCAAATGAAATAAAAATAGTCATTTACTATAGTCTCATCATGTATGTGTGTAACACTCACAACATACGCAGTAAAAGTTACTACACAATTTATTTTTAAATGATATCAATCATCACACTTCATGACTATTATAAGAGAAATGTGTTAACAAGATAGCTTATGTAACGTAATATCAACTTTAGACTGAACTTGGCGTTAATCTGCACCAACTTTCCTATGATCCGTTATATTTTAATCATTTTTGAGCCATTTTGAAAAACAAATCGATTCAAAATAATATACAATAGTAATGAAAAACTAATACAGTAATGTCCCGATTTGAAAATCATTTCTAATATTCCTCGAAACCCATGCGCTTTTTCAGTGGTATTTTTGCAACAAAGTATACCTTCAACATCCATCTTGAAGATGAATGAGAAAGATTTTGAATTCTGATTATGTTAAATTATAGAAAGATAAAAGTCTGATGCTTGGAGGGTCTGTCAAAATCGGGTCTTTACTGTACCACATCTGCCGTGAAATAATAATCCGTAAATAAATTGCCTATTTTTGAGACAAATTTTGTATACTTAATGCTCTTTTTTAAAGCAAAAATGTTAAGTGACAGTTTCGTATTTTTCGATTTCTAGGAACCATGATCTTGCCGTATTTTTGCACTAACTAAAATCTACACTGCGGTGGGACGTCATTTTGAGGCGCGTTCTCAATTATGGCCTACGAAATTTATTGAATAACATTGTATTCTGGGTTGCGAACAGGTTTTTTTTTTTAAGTGAGAGACGAACCAGCCCAAGGCAAAGTCTCTTTAATAAAGAAAAAAAAAAAAAAGGTTTTTAAAAATAACTAACAAAATGCACCTAACTAACCTGGAAGAAAACTGGATCCTGGAAACTGGAATTTCTCTTAGCCAAATAAGTGGCGCTTTCCGCCTTTAACGGTCCTAATAAGATATTACAAACACTGCTATAGCCGTTTCTCAGCTGATGATGATAATATTGAACTACCACTCACGCTTCGGCTTGATAAAGTTAAATAACCTCTAATTGTACTCAACGTGCCATTGTATGAAGGTTTTTTTTTAATCAAGAGGCTCAAAAAACAGGCCATTCACGAGCATGCCCCAATGAGTGGGAAGAAGAGCCCACCCTCTATTCACGAAATGTTAAAGACAGGGAGTTGGCATTTCCACTCTCCTGGTAAATTTCGGTACAATCGGGTGCCCTGCCCGAGCAAAGTTCAGCATCAAGATTATAGCAAACCGAAATCAAATTTTGATATCAACATCAAAATTAAATCATAATTGACAAATTCGATAAAAAATGTTGTTGCAGTTTTGTTTTCATTGTCTTAGCAGATCATCAAATTGAATACTCGTTTTGTTATCAACCGGGAAAATATACATCAAATTGAGTTTTAACTTTGCTCTCACTGATACCGGAATTAGTTTTCAATGTGATGTCACAGGAAGATTATGTTCCTCTCAATTTTGATATTTTAACCGCTAAAACGACCAAACCGACAGCAACCTGAGTAATCATTATCAGCGACATCACAACATCAAATTTAGTTTTCAATTTGATGTCAGACTTTGCTTGGGTGGTGGATTCAATAATGGAAAGAAAGTTAAGAGACAAATAAAGGAAAAATCTCACCTGATATAATACAAAGGCGCCCTTGCGACACTGGCATCTGCCAAACCGCCCGCCACCCTTGGATTCAGGCCAAAATACAAAATCACACTCCCCCCGGCTACACTTTCATGTGGATACCGAGACACTGCGGAATTGCCGAAAACAATAAAGCAGACCACCTCGCAGCCATTGGACGAAGTGGCAGACTCGCCTACACTTCGGCCCCAGACAGGACCTGAAAATATGGATCAAGTCAACCCTCTGGACGGCATGGGACCACGAATCCGGAAGACCAAAGGGATAACCCTCCCCTGGAGGGATGCTCCAAGTTTTTACGATCAGCGACTCGAACCGGACACACCCGCATCACCCACAACATGGGCAGCAGCAGCGGTGGAAACTTCCGCCAAAGATGCGACACCTGCAGAACAACAATGACGGTCGAACACATACTAATAAATAATTCCACGGACCACGAGAACTTTTCGGTGTCCTGGGAAACGTCCGGGACGCCTTCCAGAACGACCCGGTAGTAGAGGTACAACTGCAAAAAAAATTTCAGTCGCATTCTGTCTGTGTGAAGAAATTGTTGGAAATACGTCGGTTGATAAAGTATGGTCATTGTTATTATTAGTTACCTCAGTCTCATGCCGAGCATCGTTATATAGAAATAATGAGTCTTCCTCAAGGTGCGTCAGCGGCGTTGAAAATTTACAGGATTGTAAAATTTGAGGGCGGCCTCCCTAGTAGATTGTAGCCGTTGCGTGCGTTCACTGGACAGGAATGTACGGTAGGATTGCAGGTCTGCCAAGGCGTCGTTTCGAGTAATTCCAAGTTCTTCATGGACGTCCAGGAAAATTTCGTGCAGGAGATTTCTGTCTTTTGGTAGTCCTTCAGCTGCTAGCATTAGAATAGCACTGGTTTTGGTGATTCCGCGAATACATGTTGATGATGGCTGGTCATGCAGGAAGGAGAGGTAGGTCCGAACAATGTCCATAATTTTCGGGTCCCTTAGACGCGCCTTCAGGAAGCGTTGGTCGCCAGTTACGGACTGTTCAGTAAGTCTCACTATTGGCGGACGCATGGGGTCCAGAAGAGGAGGGTGTTCTCGCTCAGTTGGTTTTTCAGTTCGTTAAGGGTTAATAGTTTCCCCTTTTTCGAAATTAATGAAATTTAGTCCGCTTTCTTTGGGTGGCCGAGAAAATTGTATTCGTGCAGCAGCCAAAAGTTCTTTATCCAAAGGTAATGCAGTGCTGTTGGCTGCTGGCTGCTTCGGGTCCTGTTGTTGTTGATGTTGTTGTTATTGCAGTTGTTGTTGTTATTGTTGTAGTTGTAGTTGTTGTTGTTGTTGTTGTTGTTGTTGTTGTTGTTATTGTTGCAATTGCCAATAGTGTAGTTGTTACTGCCGCGTTTTTTGTCCCTAAGTCTGGCTTTTTCCTCGTTTTTTCCTGGAGACGGCGGGAATGTTGCTTAGCGTCATATTCTGTCCAGTCACGCTTCCATACTTTTTTATTTCCCAAGATTCGCCAGCTGGGGGCTGGTTCGTCAATTGTGTAATTCTTGGAAATGATGACGGCTGGTGTTGAAAGAGATTTTGCCATTTCTTCTATGTGAGATTTTATTTCACATGCTAGAGTACTTTGGGAGTCCGCTAACTCATTCTTGAGTGTGGAAATTATTGCAGGTAGTTGGTTAATTGAGTGCGTTGTTGTTGTTGTTATTGCCGCTACTGCTGCTGTTGCCGCTGATTTGGCTGCCGCTTTTACAGCTGTGCAGGTGTCCGCCGAAGGTGTGTCCAGAATTGATGAAATTGCATTTTTCATTTCAACCGCAATAAATTTGTTGCTGCTGGTGACGGTCGACATGCTACGCTTGAGAGTACATACTCTAGTTAAGCAAAGCTGAAAATATTTCAACTTAATATATTGGCTAACGGAAGATACATGCTACCAAAGTTGAAACAAGCGGAAAATCATAGAAATCTAGCGTATTTATAATCTTATGATTCCCATATGTTATACAGTAGGGGGCGACCCCGGCGTAGTGGTTAGCATCCATACCTCTGACGCCAAAGTCACGAGTTCAAATCTCACCCCCGGACAAGTCACGAATGACCCAAGAGCGTTAAAGTGACTATAATAAATAAAAAAAAAAAAAAAAAAAAAAAAAAAAAAAAAAAAAAAAAAAAAAAAAAATGTTATACAGTAGTGTATAATTATTGAAACATACCATTTCAAAGCTTGAAATCTAAGCTTTCCATTGGGGTTATCTACATTACAAATCGACCAAAATGGATAGTCACATGAAAAAATACTAAAAAATTACGATTTTTCAAAACTAAATCATGTCGCATTTAAAAAGTCCACCTCGGTTCGCTCAACTGTTCATAAGAGAATAAAGTACAATCCTAGTGCTAACTTTCAGCGAAGGTTACATCTGCACTTACTTGCTCTATCTCGAGAACGCATCAATTGAAAATTTTGTTTTTTCATTCATCAAACACCGGATGGATTACAAATAAGTCGATTATGCACTCTAGCGCTCATTTTTGATATGAGGGCACATCATGATAATCATCAGTTCAACGTTTCAACTTTTGGCTATATAAAATGCTATCGCACACATCAAGGGTGGCAAAAACATAGTTTTAAAGACCGACATATTTTTGACCACCTATTTGTATGGAACCTTCCCATAGTGAACTAGTATGTTTCGCGAAGGTGGCTGGAATCTACAGGAGAACCTAATCCATGAATATTATTACAGTAGGCCCGACCATCCCTACCGGTAGCGGGTGCCAGGTCTCTCCTGGCAGTTTATACCGATGGGGCTCTGCTGGGGTCCTGAAAACAAAACAAAAAATATAGAAGGTGACAGCAACATAGAACAGTTAGGCAAAATAAATACAACAACAAATTTTAGTGCTGGTTCCCCTCTGGAACCGCAACCATCGGGGATCTCCCCTTCGGAATTCCTTTCGGACATAGTCTCATTCAACTCTGTAAATTAAGAAAAAAAAACTCTGTACCTTTTCCCTCTTAGAGATGCCATCCTTCTGGGGTATCCTGAGACGAACCAGCCCAGGACTGAAAGTCTCCTTAATCTATCTATCTATATATATAAAAATGATTTTCTGTCTGTCTGTCTGTCTGTCTGTCTGACCCTTATAGACTCGGAAACTACTGAACCGATTGGCGTGAAAATTTGTATACAGGGGTTTTTGGGGCCGTGGAAGGTTCTTATGATGGTTCGAGACCCCTCCCCCTTCTGTAAGGGGGGGCTCCCATACAAATGAAACAGAAATTTCTGCATAACTCGAGAACTAATCAAGCAAATGGAACCAAATTAGGCATGTGGGGCGAGTGGGGGGGGGTGTATAAGGAGATAATCATAGGGGGTAGCCCCTTAGATAATAGGAGGGGGCTACGTACAATATAGCATGCTTTTTTTTAAATCGGCGCATAAACTCAAGCTAATATTGAATCCCGAGCAAGACCGGGCACACTCAGCTAGTAAAGATATAAAAAAAACTCCAGTGACCGAAAACAAACGTGACTAACAGATGCCATGGCACACTTCAATTGCATTTCTGAAACACAATTTCAACGCACAAACACGACGACAACATTCGACAAGCGCCTTTCGTCCGGAAACGCGAACTGCCGTTTCTCAGCTGTACTATTCAAAAACGTGAAATAAATTTGCCAATGGTTACTTTGCGTATTAGTAAGTGATCAAAGTTTTCAAATGACAATGTTAATTCTATTGGACTTTTGTAAGTTTTTATAGACCGATAGATTGTAATGGAAAATTTACTGAACTTTTTCCAATTAAAATGTTTTTCGATAACTAGTAATACTACAACCTCCTAGTTGAGTTAAGGACTTTTGGCTCCGTATTTTTTTTTATTTTTTTATTTTGTAGTACTGCACTGTGTTTTTGTGCATTTGTGTTTGACATAACAGGGTGTTTTTTTTTATCTGGAATGTTTATTTTCCTAGATATTCCTGGAATTCTTTTGGAATTTTATCACCATTCAGGGAATTTTAAAATTCACTTGATAAAGAATTTTAAAGATAATAATACATTTTATAATGCAAACATTTAATTTTCTTAGCTATTTTATTTCACTCCTTGAATTTAATAGATTCAGACCAGATTTATCTTCAGTAACAAATAAAGATTAAAATTCAGAGGCCTGATTTTTTTTCAGGTTCCGGAACATGGATACACATTTTTGTTTTTGAAATTCTGGTCTCAAGCATGCTACAATGCTGCTCTAAATCATGGTCTACAGAACTCTTATCAAACCAAAATTGTTACTGAGGTGCGCACCAGTGTAGGGGTACCACAAAACCATACAGTTAAATCATGTCAAACTATTATTACTGACGAAAAAGTGTTCATTGGATTGACCAAATTCAAAGTAAAATTTCGCACCACCCACGTTTATACGACCTGATTTCGAGAAAGTCTTTTCAAAATTTGTAAAATCAAGTATTCCACTTTGAAACATTCATGTAAGTCCATATAATGACGAGAAGGAAACATAATTTCTTGATGTCAATGTTTTGATTGATGGTCTACGGGGGAACCACTGTGCATCTATGCTGTGTTATTTATCGTAGCGTACACGTACTCACTAGACTGATGCAAAATTTGAAATTTTCGCTCTACAGTGCTTAAACGATTCCAAATTGGGTCCTGTTTAGCCTCCCAAAATTTGAACTACTTTAGTAAGAAACTGACTTGGCACATACCATTTCAAGTTTACATGGGAATGACTATGGGAAAACTTATGTTTTTGTTCATATCTATCTAACAATGCACCACATCACTATGCTTTTGAAAATGATAGCTGTGATTGTTGAAAATTTTCTTAGCTACAACTTTGTTGAAAACTACTTTTCAATCAAATGTAAAGGACAAAAGTTATTAATGATTCAAGTCGCTGATGTCTTATGATTATGCTCAATCAACTGTTCAGCAGGCAACATTGGTGTTTCTGGTGCGAAGAATAGAGCACAAATATCATGGCTACTATATCACACTGCAGAATACAGTGTTGCCCACAGAACAGCTGCTTGATCATGCCATAAGATTATCAATCTCTTAAACAATTAATTACATTTTAATTTGACATTTGGCTGAAAAACTATATTGCATAAAGTTGTAGCTTAGAAAATTTCCCGTAAGAATAGTTATACAAATTTTCGAAAAAGCAATATGGAAAATGGGTAGAAGACAATGAACAAAAAGTTTGGTTTTCCCATAGTAATTTCCATACAAACTTCGAATAGTTTGTGCCAAGTCAGTTTCTTACAAAATGAGTTTAAATTTTGGGAGGCTAATCAGGACCTGATTTGAAACCGTTTGAGCACTGTGGAGCAAAAATTTCAAATTTTGCATCAGTCTAGTACTCACGCTTCAATAGATTTTTGCTGATCATCTGTGTTCATTATCATTTGCTCAGCACGTGAATGATGCCTAAGTCATTCTACAGAATGTGATAGAATCAATTTTGCACTACCTATGATAATTCTCATACGCGAAGGGCGCCAAGTTCGTGTTTCGTCCAGGTTTGTAGCATTCAACGTTCCTTCATTAGCTAATTCCTCCATTTCCTTTCATAATCAAGACTCGTTCTTCCAACTATCCCGGAGGGCTCCCTGGCAGACGTGTGTTTAGCATCATTTGTCTGCTGGAATGGGAACACCCGATGCTGCCGCTGCTGCTGCTGCTGTTGGGGCTGCACCTTATTGCAAACGAACCTGGGAACTCTGCCTCCAAATGCCAAGTGTGAAAATGTACGACTGCAATTCCTCTGACCATCAATAACAATATCAATTACGCACCGGCTCCACGTGGTGGCGTCCGAGGGCGGCGACTGGACTGAGTGAGTCTAATTAAAATATTATTGATTGTACTGGAAAAGGGCTCGGAGCGCATTCGGTAGAATATCCCATCTAATCAGCAAGGGAGCAATATCGGCGAAAGGGACTTTGTTTTGATAAATAGAACAGTTTAACCCTTGGCTCTGCGATTGGTTTGAAATGCAATACAACTTAGAGAGTGCGAGCACAATTGGACCCTCGGGGTCGGTTCCTTCCTCCACAACATGCGCCGACCGAGTCGTAGAACATTTATTGGCATAAGTATGCACAGCACAGCATGGCCGGACGACCAACGACGACGACGACGACGATGATGACGACGACGTCGGCACACGGTCAGGTTCGTTCGATTTGTATCCGAACAAATGGCTAATGAAATTGAATTAATTCGATTTTATCGATGTAAATTGAATGGCTTTGTTTGCAATTACGATGATTATCTTTCATTCTTTCTTCGTTAGTGCGTGCGTATGACATGAGCAATGGCTGGCTGGAACGTTTTATTAGATCAACCAGTTCGTTACATTGTTGTGCATCCGTTCCGGGCAGGGAGTTGAATGCTTTGCCTGTGGCGATTGGAAATGATGGTCACGGTTCTGGATTGTGTGTGCCCTTTGAATGAATCAGATTTGATGCGAACGGGAGGGTACAATATTGAGTATAGATTTTTTAGGTTATTTTCATGTTTGGTTTTATTTGTCTAGAGAAAGGTTGCAAATACTCATTTCAGATAAATCATTAGATGTTTCGATCTTACTTTTTATGTGTAAGATACAAGGAAATGTTGTAAAGTATGTGTTTGCCACTTAAAACGTGGCAATTTCGCTTCCTTAGAATCGCAATCAGCTTTTTTTCAGTTATCATAACATCATACTCAAAAAGCAAAATTGACAGGTATGATGAGCTTTGAGTGTGTTGGTTTATTTCCTTTTAATTCCGTTATAATTGCTTATCTTTTGACAGATACGCGTATTTCGTTTACTACTTGCAGACTTCATCAGTGCCAAGTACTCATAAAGTCTGCTTGTAGTAGACGAAATACGCGTATCTGTCAAAATATAAGCAATTATTTATAATGGAATTAAAAGGAAATAAACCAACACGCTCAAAGCTCTTCATAAAGGGATTCCGTTAAGAGGTTCGACAAATTTAATAAGGTTTAGGTATAATGTGTCAAGCACATAATTTGCAACTTCTTTATGCAACTGACATATTTCTATACGAAATTAGTATTTGGAACCTCGGTCTATTCTATGATTAGGTAACATTACGAGCCGACCCTGAGGCTCAAAAATACCTTCAATGTAAAAATACGTTTCATAAAGGGAAAAAAAGTTTTAGACCGATCATGAGTTACGACACGTTTTGAAAATCAATACCTTCAACAACCTATAGAATGTCACTCTATAGTAGACTGGACGCAAAAGGAAAAATAAAAAATCAACAGCGGCAGAGTGGAAGAGCATATTGCGGAAATAGCCATCCAAGCGTGAATGGCGAGAAAAATGGGAAAATTTAATTTTCGCATTTTCCTTTCTGGTCACACTTTTGTTATGTTTTCCTTCTTTTTCTTTCCCCTGTCGTCGGGGAAGTGAAAACATGTTTCAGCAAATGAACCCATCTCCTTATTTCATTACAGGCTGTGTAGTAGACGAGCACAGCACAGCAGTTACTGACACACCACGTGAAGACCGATACGAAGCCGAAGAGTGGTCACCATAGAAGCAACCATCTTCAACCAATGAGATGAAATCAAAAGACTGAAAGCCAAGGCAAGTTAAGTTGCCTCCACGCGCGTAAGCTGAAATGGGTGAAATTTGGTGAAAAGTGTTCAATAAATAGTAGCTTCAGGCTCGGTCGGATTTAGCATCATTCGGCCGCCGAACAGAACCATGTTTGTGTAGCATATTCAAGTGTAAACGTCCTACCTCCAAAATAATAGGATGTTCAAGAAGAAATTAAAAGTTCGATTTTTTATTAGCTGTTAGCTTGTACGTTTCTCAATCTTCGAGCCTCTCCTTGTCGTTGTTTTCGCGTGACAGAAGCTGTGAATATATAGTGAATAGTAGTATATTCCAAAATTTATAAGCAAATTCCCCCCCCCCCCCCCCGGTGCAAGTTCTGATTGTGCGTGCGTGAATGGGTCCGGTGCCCCAAAAATAGCAATCAATTTCCGATCTTAATCCAGTTCTGGGGCACTCCAGAAGTGGCTGGAAATGTGAGTGTGCACGCGCACTGGATCGTAAAAAAGTCCGTAATTCAATTTAATAAATAAGCAAGCAAAGTATAGCATCAATAAAGGTGATAGAGGCATAAAACGGGGGCGTACGTGCGGCAATTTTACTCCTCGGTTGCCATCGGTCGTGCCCCGCAGTGTAAGGAAGATAAAGCGCGTTTCTTGTGGATGTGAGGAGCTGGGCTCTGCCAAGGAAAAAAAAGGTGATAAAACGTGGTGTTTTGTGATATCGAAATTCTAAATAAAAAGGAAAATTTCCACGGGAAGCGTTCAGTGGCTGGGAAATTATCGCAACGAGAGTGTGAGAGTGTGGTAAGGGTGCAAATAAGCGGCAATCAAAATGTACGTCGAGTACACGGATCGAAGGAACAACGAACGTGAGGCAGCGATGGCGGGCAGCAAGTTTATGGTGAGTAAACTCTTCTAAGTAATCGATTATCAAGCACGATGATCCTGGAAAATTATTTCATGCATATGCCAAAATAGGTCAAATTCTTGATACGGCTTCAGGCGAGAGCAGAACGTCCAGATTTTGCAGCTATCGAGTATGATGAATACAACACGGCTCTGAACAAAAGAGGGGGAATCCGAATCCGAACAATCGCAATTTCACATTTCAATCACTCAGTGCGAACATTGTATCCATTGCCCCAGGGTACAATCCTTTTGATGAAATCCTCTGAATATCAGGAATCTATTTGCTTGATGGTGTGCACATGATTTCAAACGTTACTCATCCGTAAATGTGCATCAAGTCTTTCGGAATCAAGCCCTGCAGTACTGTTCCTGTTTAGTACACATGTTGTGAACGGTTTTTGGATCGCATCGGATGGAAGTGATGATATGGAAGTCAACACTTGCATCAATTTGGAATATGCCAGTATCATTTGCAAAGCAAGGAATATGAGTGTGTGAAATGCCTAGGCAATGGATAGTACATTGCTTCCAGGAATCGATGTGCAATTGTTTTGTTCTGTGCTGTGCATGTAACAGTGTGATTCCCTTTTTTTAGATGAGCGATAACCATAAAGCATGGGAAGTTTCAAATGTTAAAGATGACCTCACTCATTTCCTGAAAAGAATAATGTAAATCACAAACTTTCATTACCGATGACGTGTTTAGGAATTACTGATTATTTGAATTTAGTTCAAATTCTGGAAATTAGATAAGAACTCCAAGATAATTTTGGTCAAACAATTCTGAAGGGTATTACATGGGAATGCTATGAAGTGTTCAAACAAATATGAAGATAAAATTAGAAGGAATCTTCAGTGAATGATTCGAAAAAGTTTAAATAATTTTGTGAGTGTATGGCAGAGAATTTTTGGACTGTTATAAAGAAATTTTCAAGAGAGTTCCAGAGAGATTCTTAAATTAATTTAGAACAATTTTGAAAGAACTCTGTGGAGAGAAATTATTCTAAAGGAAATGCTTGAGCACAATCAAATAAAATCTTGTATAGTTTTGAGTGAATTGGACAACAGACAAATTTTGAAAACTTCGAACGCAGAACCAAATTCATAATACAGAATAATGTTGCTGTCTTAGAAATGACCTATGTAACCTAGTGATTGATTCGGTTCAATCGCATTCGGGTTTATGCTTAATTTAAATGTTCATCGCACATCTGGAAAAATTTCCAAAATTTCAGGACAAAAACGGGAAATTTCTTATCAAGATTTGTTGGTCATCATTCTGCGTTTAAAACTGTTAAACGTACACATTAAAATTCCAAAACCTAATAGTATTTGTCCCGATAGTATTTGTTGTACTTGTTCGTCTTTGTTAGTATATCATATAATGATTCACGGCTCATTTTTTTTATAAGAACCTGTTCATTGGTTCATCAGAAATCCATGTTTTTTTCTCTTTTCTCAGATCAAATACATTATCGAAAAAAAAACATGAAGAGCTTTTTAAGTGTGTTGATTTATTTCCTTTTAATTCCGTTATAATTGCTTAACTTTTGACAGATACGCGTATTTCGTCTACTAACTGCAGACTTCATCAGTGTCAAGCAGGGTGCCTTCCATTCATTTTGACTAAAATTTTTTTTATGAAATTATGGAATAATATGAAATATGGAATTTACATAAAACCTGTAAATTCAGCTTTGACAGAGTCACAATGAGTGATTTTCTGATCGCCTTTTCACGAAGAGAGTGAGATAAATGACTAAATCATTTATTGCGACTCTGATGTAGCAAAATTGGCAGTTATTATGAGTCAAATACAAACTTCACAATCTTTTCTTGTTGCTTATACAAAAACAAAATATTATCATAAAATATTATTATTCCAAAATTTCATAAAACATTTTTTTTTGCCAAAATGAATGGGAGGCTCCCTGGTGCCAAGTACTCAACACCATTGAAGAATCCTTATTTTATCTACGACTTATATACTAATCAATATGTACTATTAATCAGCAGGTATCCAACTGCCATGTCACATTTACCTAACCAGTTTGGTTGGTACTTACGTAAGCAGTGTTGGAAAAATATCAAAAAATCAAATCTCACCAACGCCCAAGATCACGCTTGATTTTCGTGAACAAAAATCAACATGCAAACAACTGCGGTTGATTTTGCAATCTGTGATATCGCAGCTCGGAATATCAAGCTAACAAAACTCACCAACTGCGAATCTCACCAAGCTGTGGTGAGATTGAGTTTAATGATTTTTTCTTTACTCCCGAATGCTACCGAAACTTCCATAACGGCTTGCAGCAGTCCCTTCGCGTCTGCCATCGGTGAAGATGAAAAAGAGATAGCAAACGATGCTTTCTCTTTCTAAGAAAATGATGTGCAATGGAATAATTTTTGTGTCGAGTCAACTCTCAGCTTGATCTTTGCACGTTGTGAATAGTCTCGCAATATCAAAGGAGCTTGTAAAATCAATATCAAGCATGATATTTTGTTCCAATATTACGCGTGATATTGCGAGCACATGAGAGCGGAAAAATATCAATTGATTTCTGATTTTGCCAACACTGTACTTAAGCATCCTTTTGTTCCACTTAAGAAAAGTTCACGCCATATGACGAATCGGAAAAACTCAACCCACTCCAATTTGCATGAATTTATGCATAATTGTTTGCTATGGCAAATCATCCAAAATTTTGCTAAAATTCGGCCATTTGAACCTTTGTCTTTGTCATTTTCAATATAAAGGTTGAACATGAAAAAATCCAAACACACGCCTTTAACGCATGAAGAGCTTTTATGTGTGTTGATTATTTCCTTTTAATTCCGTTATAATTGCTAATATTTTGTTAGATACATTTTCAGAGTATTTTTTTTTCAAAATGTCACTGAATCAAGCTAAGTATGTATAGAATCACAGTAGGCATTGGTTGTCAGGATAAGTTCATAGTTGAAGATGCCAAGCGTCAAATAACAGACTTAAAGTGGTCATTTTATACGATAGATAAGGAGATGAAAGTATAGAATCGATAGTTCCGTTAGAGTACGGCAGTGTGAAAATTGTATATAGAGAGTAGAAAGCGAGCAAGGACAAAACTTTGAGGAAGATACAAATCGGTTTGATCATCTCTCTTTACCAAACTCCCCAGTTAGAGTGGGATGGTGAGGAGTATTCCCCCCGCCACCACTGGCAAAAAGAGATGATTGCCGATTTGCTCATGTACCTACGATGTGTGGAAACAGTTCTATCGATTGTACCGCACTCAAGCCGTTATCTGAAGCCGTTATCATCTAGTCGTAGGTTTGGAAATTGCACAAACAGTCTTTAGTGGGATCGACACTGATGAAGACTGCACATTGTAGTCGAAATACGTATCTGTCATGGATACCAAAATTATTTAAGTGGAATTAAATGGAAGTTAACCTTTTTTGCAGTCCCCACAATGTTCCTGGACATACATAAACAACTGCCTTGAAGTTCTATCGAAGTTTTGAAGATTACCTTAATGCTCACGAACTTTCCATAAAATCGTTGTACTTTTGAACTACTCTGAACTACCCTATACGACCCTAATTTTACCTAATGATCATGGATCTTCTCTGAAGTTTCCGTATCTTTCTGGATTTAAGGTATGTTTCTGAAGCTTTAAAAATGTCCCGGAATTTCTGAAAGCTCCCTAATTTTTTGCTATTTTCCTGATGTACTCGGAACGTCTCTATTTTTTTTCCAAATCTCTGGAAACTCTTGGTACTTCCCATAATTTAATAGAACTATCCTAAGAATCAACCAACTCAGTGCCATATTAACGGTAGAGCGATGATGGACAAAAGCCAGGGCCGCCAATTTGAAGGGGGATCTTGGCTCAGAGTAATAAATTATAATATATGTGAAAATATAGGAAGTTCTAGTGAAAATATTAGGAGATTCTAGACTTTCTGGGAAGTTTAAAAATCTTGAAGAATTATTTAGGGTTCGGTCAACCATGTGGAAGGATACCTAGGAGTGGAGTGAATGAAAATAAAATATTGGTGATCGGTTATTTAAAGTTCTTGAAACACCCACGTTTTAGCGGTGCCGGTGGTGTAGTGATAAGTGTGATTGTCTCTCACCCCAAAAGGTCTTGGTTCAATCCGAGTCGGTAGCATTTGGATTTTCTGAGGCATAACATCTCTGATCACGCCTTCCTTTGAAAGGGAAGTAAAGCCGTTGGTCCCCGGTTCATGAGTTGATGGGTCGATAGGCAGAGTCCAGGTGAGGGAGCTGCCTCCGTGCATTGGTAGCATTGATACTCAGTACGGAAAACAAGATTAACGGAAAACAAATCAATGGAAAAGAAAACACCCAAGCAAGGTTGCAAATAATCATTTCAGCTAAAACAACCTTTTTTTTGTATTATGAAATAATTAGATGCCCTGATCATATTTTGATATGGTAAGATACAAGACGAGGTTAAAAGAATGTGTTTGACATATTAAACCTGTTTATTTCACTTCATGAGAGTCACAATCAACGATTTTTCACACACTCACTCACTCACTCACTCACTCAGCGATCAGCAAATCGCTGATTGTGACTCATAGAAAGCAAAATTTACAGGTTTTATGTTTCAAACGCATACTTTGCAACCTCTTCTTGTAAGTTACAAGTAAAACATGCCATCATACCATCTTTTGGTTTTATTATTCCGAAAAACATTATTTTAGCTGAAATGACCTTGCACCCAAGTTGGTGAAGTTTGTGATCTGCAATTAACTGGATTCTATAATGTTCACGTTTGTTTCAAGTTTTCCAATGCACTAACAAAACAAAATCATCTCTTACTGTTAGCTAGTCTGAATTTCAAACCATCAGTAGATGAGTTGTAATGCTGATTTATTCTATTTTGTCTTGCCTCAAAATTTTACAAATAGTCTCAATAGATACACTTACGATGTATTGTCATAACATTGCTCAAATTAATGATGAAGGTCGTGAACATGTTT